ATTTACATTTTTTAACTTTTATTATTTTTATTTTATATTATTTTTAAACAAACTACATAGAAATACGAAATATCACAAATCCTACTATTATTTTAACACACATTATAATAAATTTTTATTTACTCTTAAATATTTAAATAATAAAAAAATAATATTAAAAATTACTTTTATTTTAACAACAATCAAATAAGTTAATGATTCGAATTCTCAAATTCACTTTTATTATATGATAATATACCGTGTAATTTATGTCAAATTCACTTTAATTATATTATTTATTTATTTAACTTTATCCAATCAAATGCGAACATGTTTTTTCTGTGTAGTTCATACTAAATATATTCGTACTTTTTAACGGTGTTCCTTATGAAAATAAAAACTAATTTAAAATAATAAGTAAAGAATATTTAAATAAAAAATAAAATATTAATATAAAAAATTACAAGTAATTTGAGAAAATTAGGATTTGAGATAAAAAAATATATTTAAACAAAATTTGAAAGTAATTGATAATTTATTTATTTTTTAAATACAAAAATAATTATGTTAAAATTTTAATTTAAAGTCGAATTAGAATGGTTTGAATTTCAATAATAATGTTTGAAAATAATAAAAATACAAAAGAATAACATGTGAGATACCACGTGCAAGAAAAAGAAAATAAATCTTGAAATTCTTTTTCCTTTGGCTATAAATACTTACATTTAAAAGTGTTCTTTATGAAAATAAAAAAAAATAATTTAAATAATAAGTAAAAAATATTTAAATAAAAAATAATCTGTTAATATAAAAAAGTTATAAGTAATTTGAGATAATTAAGATTTGAGATATAAAAAAGAAAAGTTTAAACGCAAAATTTGAAAGTAATTGATAATTTAAAATTTCGTAAAAATATACAAAAATAAGCATTTTAAAACTGTAATTTAATGTCTAATTAGAATGGTCTGAATTTGAATAATAATAATGTTTGAAAATAATAAAAATACAAAAGAATAATATGAGAGATATCACATACAAGAAAAAGAAAATAAATCTTGAGATTCTTTTTGCTTTGGTCGTAAATACTTACCATTAATGAATGGAGATTGACTTATTTAAAATCAAATTAGAATGATCAACAGGTTTATTGACTTAAAAACGTAAAAGATTTGTCCATAAATCAAAATTATTATGCAACGAAGAAGAATTTAATGAAGACATGACTAAAATCATGATATGGATCAGCGAACAAAATAAGAGATGAAAAGAAAAGACAAACCAGATTCATTGCCAACAAAATCAGAAAAAAGAAGAAAAAAACTTAATGTTTCTGCGTACGTAACGTGGCACCAAGGTGTGAACATAGGTTGTCACTGGGCATGATAATCTTTGATATTTGGAAAGATTATACATTATATTTTCCTTCGGTGTCTGCTTCTTAAAACACAAATTTATGTTAGAAAGAAGCAAGACACCGAAGGAAAAGGTGAAGTCAAAACCTTTTCTGTTTCTAAGAACATGAAGATGTAGTGAGTATTGACCTCCTACAAGGCTTTAGAGTGAAATTTATGATTCATACTTTAACCCAACCCATCACTCTTATACTTATTTTATGATCAAGAACAATAACAACCTATAACAACATCTTCTTTTGTTGTATAGACCCAATACAGGTTGGGTTGGGCCTTATTCCGCCCATTCTTGTTTAGTTTTATCTCATTAGATATTGGGCTTCAAAGCCTTCTTTTGAGCCCAATGTTAATGGTGTTAAATTAACCTAACCTAATATTTTAGAAAATACTTATTAATAATATTCAATAGAATTAATCTCCAAATTAGCATAAATCAACCTACCTTTTTATTTTTAAATTTTTATTCTTACTTTTCTAATGAGATTCAATTTATGAAAGCCCATTGGTACCAAATAACCTTTTAGCATTGATCAGATTCATGCATTCTTATTTATTTGTTGTAGCATTGATTGTTAAATAATAAATCGGTAGTTTAGTTAAATTAGATGATAGTAAAAATATTTATTCTAAAAATAATTATTGTTAAATTATTTTAATAGATCTAAATTATTATATCTTAAATATGTTGTGACAATACGATTTCTTGTGAAAATGATGATCTAGAGATCACTTATGGTTGGAGTACATAAGATAAATATTAAAGTTAGAGTGTGAAAAATTAAAATTATTTCATCATAATTGTATGCGCAGTATTTTTAATAAATCATTATAATTAATTTATAATTTTGTTTCCTTAAAAAAATTATATAATAAACAAACTCATGTCACTAATTTATTATGAACTATGAGGTAAAAGAAAAGTGACAAACGTGTTATTTTGGTCCAAGCCACCCGAATTTTTACTTGTTCAAAGTGGGCTGGACCAAATTCACTTTATAACATTTTTTTAATAATTATTAAGATAATAAATTATATATTTAATATTATATATTGATAATATCCATTTTAAAGTTAACATTCTATGCATATTGAATTTTTTTTAATTATTAATTTTTAGCATATATATATATATATATATTTTTTTTTTAATTCTCTAGAAGAATAAAAAGACAAACTACCCTATGCTATCCTTAAGATGGAGAGTCTGTAGGTGAGGAAAAGGAAATTCTCAAAAATACAAAGCGGTTGAGGATTAAGCACTTAATGAACAGGTAAGAAATTAGTTACTCTATAGCTCCTCTATTTTGTTAGTGAACTTACTAGTTCTATAAACTTTTCTCATACTACCCACTTGAGTTAGTATCACAGTCCAAGTAAAGTTATCTAATGGTTAAAATACCTTTTAAATATTATAATTTTAATTACTTTATATTTTAGTCTTTATAATTTAAAATAAACATTTTTAATTATAGTTCAGACAAAATTATCGTAGGGTTAAAATGTTTTTTAATACTATAGTTTTAATTAATTTATATTTTAGTTTTTATAGTTTAAAATAAATATTTTTAATTATTAATTTCATTTAGTAACATTATTTGTTTTGTGCTAACATAATAAAAGTTTTTAATTTTGAGCGAGTAAAAAAAAAATGTCTAAACTATAAGCGTCTTAAGTGAAAATACAAAACATACATAAAACATCAAAGATTCTTAATTTAGAAATAAATTCAACATTAGACATAGTTGAATTAATATTCTTATTATGTCAACACAATAAAAATAATATTACTAAAAAAATTAACAACAAAGACAAATAATTAAAAGAAAATGAAAACAGAGAAACTAAAAAAAATTGTCTTATACTAAAAAAATTATTGAAAAAAATAAATATAAATTAAATGGTCTATTTTAAATTATAAGAACTAGAAAATAAAATTAATGGTAGGCATGACTTTACGAAATGCTTTTTAAGTGAATAGTAATATTTTTTTTCATGTTTCAAGGGATTCTATACATCAATCAAAAGTAGTGTTGTATGGTGTTTTTATGGTGTAATTTTGTTTTAAAATTCTCGTAATGAGTAATTTTTAAAAAAATTCAAAAAATGAATAAATTATATTTATTATATACGAAACTTAACGTAAAAATTATGTTTTAAAACACGACTTTTCTATTTATATAATTTTAAGATTTTTTTTTAAATTAAAAAAAAATAATGTTTAATAATAACTTTCATTTGTCTTCCAAAATTCAGTAAAGTCGTGTTCAATAAACACTTTTTTTTTTGAAAAAAAAAAATAGGAGTCGTGATTGATAACATGATTCTCTTCCTCTCTAATTTTTTCTTCAATTTTTAATTTTTTTATAATACATAATATTTTTTAAAATTGAAATAAATTTTCTAAAAGATTGTTTAAACGTGTAACATTTTAAAAACTAAATTTTTTTAAAATTACTATTAATAAATGATTAAAAAATAAATAAATACATATTTGACGTTATGGCTGTAGTATTTTAATTTTTTTTAAAAAAAGTGTATAAAATTATATTAAAATGTCAACAATATTAATTTTAATGTTATAAAATAAAATTAAATTAAAGATTATGAAAATAAATTTACTATTATATATAAATATTAGGATTTTATTAACAGTAACTTTAGAAAATTTATTTTAGTTTTTAAAAAATTATGTACTTTAAGCAAACAATTTTTGACAATTTATTTGAATTTTTAAAATATTATGCATTATAAAAGAATTAAAAAAATAAGGAGAAAATAATCGTATTTTGAATCACAACTCCCATTTTTTTTACAGAAAAAAACCTAAAAAAAACATTTTATTAATCACGACTTCATTATTTTTTGCAAAAAAAAAAGTTAAAATTAAATAAATAAATAAAACAATGTCAAGATTTGAAAGTGAGTATTTACGAAAATCGTGCTTATAAACATGACTTTAATTTTAAAATTTTTTAAAAACATATCTTAAAATTGTAAATAGAGAAATTGTACTTTAAAACACAAATTTTACGTTAAATTTTGTATATAACAAATACGGCTTACCCATTCCCAAAACCTTTTTTAAAAATAACCCATTACAGAAACGAAATTACACCATTAGAATAAAAATCGGGATGACTGCGTTCTCCGTATAACTCGATGTATTATCGATTCTTCTGGCCAAACTCTAATCAATTTTCACCAATTGCATGCCTCCCAACACCATCTTCCTTACCTTACCCGAGCAGACTATTACGCAAATTTTGAATATTTTGGTAGAACAAGCAGAAAAATATAAGCAGTTCTTCCCCGTTTCATATAATACACAAAAAATATGGACAAAGACACACATGCATTACTTTTCTAACTTTAGAAAATGTTAGCAGATCCGTGCAGTTTCATATGATACATACAATAAATATGTACACCGACACTGAGTGATCACTTCCTTTTTGAAAAACTAAAATGGGGGAAATAAAATCCATATGGCAGGCCAACTCAGAAAGTAAAACCCTGAAGACCCAAGCAGAAGCGGAAAAATGCAAGGAGATCTGTACAGCTTCATATAATACACAATAAATAATTAAATATGAACAACGGATGCAAGTATACTATTGGAAAAACTGAAACGATAGAAATAAAATCCATATCACAGGGCAACTTAAAGAAACCCAAGCATAGACTAAAAAATTACCACCACGACCCCCGGCCCAATAAAAAGGAGCAGACACAATAATAATTTTAAATTGCAAATTGTTACTGAAATAACCAAGACTCTACAGTAATTAGTAGTTACTTCTGTGAAACTAAATGTATCCAGGTCTTGTTTATATACAGACAAAAACTACTGCTGCTTGCATTCAGGAGGGCGCTCCGTCTGCTGCTGATGTTTAGCGGGTCGGGCTCTGCCACCACGCTGCAGTTTAGACCAAGAAGACAATGTATGTAATAAGAATACCAGTTACCAAACAGCTAAGCATATGATTAATACAAAAATACATAAATCAATATATGTAATCTGATTCGAGAATGAAACAGAATGCGCCAAATTATGGACTCTGTATCCATACCTTAGTCTTATTCTTCCTTTCATCTTTCTCTTCCTCCTCCTCCTCCTCCTCCTCATCATCATCTTCATCTTCATCCCCATTATCTTCTTCATTATTATAATCATCTTCAGAATCTTCAAAATCACTCTCTACAGCCTCCCCCGTGAACCATGACACAGCATGAGGAATAATTTTGTCCCGGATTGTAGAACTGCATTGCACACCAACAAAAATACATTTCAAAACACAAAAATAGTAGTGAAAAGCACCATAAACAGTCATTTAGTGACATCTATTATCATTAGATTCCGTAAATGTCAACATTTTCTTACAAAGGTAACTGTTCATTCTCACCTTTTTCTGCTACAAGAATGGTATAGTTTTAATGACATAAACTCGTAATGCTGTTTAACTATAAACAACTTTACACTCAACATGTCAAGCCACCTTTCAAAAAGTGAGTGCAAACTAACTAAAAATAAAATGCAAAATCATAGAACAAATAATTTTAAAAAGCCTGTTAAACTTGGTAGTTGGTACAGAACAGTAGATATAAATTCACTGAAGTCTACCATCAAGACCAGAGGATAGATCAGGTATCTTCATCACTCAAAATTAAAAGGAATAAGAAAGATCAATCAAGAATTCACTACTGACTCACCCAATGTCATAATCATGTTCCATCAAATTCTGTAGCTCTTCAACCTATCCATGCAAGCATCAATGACAATGGTCAATAAAAATCATTTGACAACTTCCCAAAAGATATTATATTACACACATAAATAAAAGACGTACAGCATCATCATCAATATCATCATCATCATCCTCAGGGACCTGGGGAGGATTGAAAAAGTTGAAGAAACTTTCACATTTTTCTGTTTTTGTGATGGGCTTAGCATTCTTTGACCCTTTCCTTGGCTTCTTCTTAAGAATCTTTTGTGTCAAGCACTTTCCTGGATGCCACTCAATCTCCGTCCTACAATGTTTGAATATTAGAAAAATGTGTGCAGCAAGTAAAAACACGAACATAAACCCTTGCAAATTAACAGATATTAGTTACCCTATTGCTTTCTCTAATATGGGGTCATCATCATCAATCATGTGATATATTTTTGTTAGCACAGAATTTTTGAAATAAGGATTAGAACCAAAATGAAACTCCAGCTTGAAACCCTTAGGATCGTCAATTCTACACCATTTGATATCTTTAAGATATTTGAGGGCCCCTTCATCACGCTCAGTGATCTATTAAAGGAGAAAAGAAAAGTAGATTATTATCCTGCAATTATTTTAACAAATGGAAACTGTAGAATATATACACATAAATTCACTACCTCTTCAGCTAGTATTTCATTAGCCTTCATTGCAGTTAGCCAGAAGTTAGGCACTCCTTTCTCTGAATTACAAGGACAGTCCAAATAGTATCAAAAAAGATAATGTACAAGGCTAGAATGGCAAACAAAAGTAAAATAACTTGCCTTCAGCATCTTTGTTTGTTTCTTCTGGCACTGCTTCATTTGTAACTCCTTCAACCTCTAACACGCCATTAACAATCTCATACCTCTATAACCACCCAAAACAATTCAAAGACAAAAGATAATTTGTTACTTTTGTGAGGCAGCAAGTAATTCTGTCACAAATTCCATGGATTTGAGCAAGAAATCTCATAAATCGAAGAAGACATCTGACAAATAAACAAGGTTCATAGCTCATTATCAATTAACAACTTACGCACTTTTGTGTAAAGTGGTTCATAGAGTTTCTGGTATTTAGCCTCCAACTCTGATCGCTCCTCTAAAAACTTAGCCTCCACCTCATCATGTTGTCTCTGCAAATTGAAAACCAAATCAGATTTCCATTTCTCCCCCTTGTTAATGTAAAAATGAAAATTCTAGTAAGAAGCAAGAGGGTGAGGAAGTAGATTTTCTATTACAAATAAAAAATAACCACAAGTGCTTCTGAGTAATGATATTGAACACAAGGAAACAAGTATATTATCTTGAATGAGAGGTGCAGTTCTATGACATTGTTGAGAGTTGAGAATATTACTTAAACAAATACTTGCTACACCTCAGCACTCTCCCCTGTTTCTTTAAGATAAAAGAACAAAACATAGACCAAGCTAGTGCCTCCTATTTCTTTTGGGGTTCAAGTAGATGACAATTCCACCATTTCAATTTTTCAACACAATAATCAAAACTTAAAAACGAAGGGAAGGAGGGGAATTTAAGCAAAACATTCAGTGGACTAAATTCCAAAAAATTAAATAACCTGAGCATGCCTATCACTGTAAATCAATAATTACAATTAGCAACAGTCACACACACAAAAACATGATCAAACCTGCAGATCTTGGAGAGTTTCCACGCGTTGCCTGACTTTGGGTGACAATGTCTCCAGAATGTCCACATGCTGGCCAGCCAGTAGCTGGAGCTTGTCCTGCATAAACAGTACATATTAACAAAAATATCACAAACTCATAAAACTAACACATCTCTGATAGAACGAAAGTGGTTTTGTAAGCATCATGTTTATTGAGAAATGATAGATTTCTTTTGGCATATGAAAAATGGTTCACCGCCACATATCCAGAAAAGAAAAAAAAAACGGAAATAAAAAACCATAGCAAACAATTTTTCTTGCACCAGCAAAGGCAATTACAGAGAGTAATCTCTTTCAAGGCATAGATATCACCAGAGTAAGTTTTCCCTCTTCTTCAACAAAGCATATCTCATAATCAAATCCGATCAACATGGTTAACATATTTAGCTATCTATCAAATATGCCATGGTTTGTTGCATGTAAAATTCGTAATCAAATCTTTCTATCACAGAAAGAGAAAATACGAACAATAGCAATTCAGCGTAAAACTCGTATAACAATTAGGCGAACATAATACACGATACGCGTAATAAACTCTCACCTTCAGTGCATTGACGAGACCAGCACGATCCTCAGCACTAAGAGCTACACAGAAAACCAAACATTCGAATTTAGACCTAGCTTTTTCAATCAAACAATAACAATTACGAAGCATATATATTCACTAGTTCACAGAGTGACTAAGGCGAAATTATTTTTTCCGAAAAAAGAGTAGAATCGGACGGTATTTCATAAGTACGCGAGAGAAGAGTGGCAACAGTTTGAAGAGACAGAAAAAAAGAAAAAAAGAATCGGAAAGTGTTGAGGGTAATCTGAAAAGCGTGATTTAGAAATTCCGATTACAATTACCAGCAGCGGCAGCGGGAAGATCGGAGCCATGATCGGACATGGTGACGGAAGGAGTGTTTGGAGCGAACCAAAAATGGGAACGAAGCGAGGGAAAACGAATGAATAGACTCGGAAGCTCTGAAATCTCAGTGTATATATCCTTTGCTTGTTTGCACGCGCGAGTCACGAGCGTGGGGTAGCACGCGCTTTTTGCCGCTTGAGGTCAGAAGACGTGATGTTGTCAGTTGGACCAAGTAATCCACTTGCCTCTTTTACAGAAACCAAATTAGTTTTTGTTGTTATTATTAAACACAATAAACAGAAAAGAGGCACTATTTATTTATATTTATTTGTGAAGGATTTGAGGGAGAAAAAGATAGTTGTTGAAGTAAAATAAGGCTTAAATGTTTTATGCCATAAAAAAAATTAGATTAAAATATTTTTTTTAATTGTTATAGTTTCATTTATTTTATACTTTAATTTTTATAGTTTAAAATATATTTTGTTATTATTATATTTATTTATTTTATATTTTAATTCTTATAATTTGGTAATAAAATAAAAAATAAAAAGATAATAAATAATATTTTTAAGATAAGTATACAAATTAAAATATTTTATTTTAAATTATAAGAATAAAAATATAAAATAAATAAAATTATATGTATAAAAAATATTTTAACCAATAAGTTATTATCAAATTAATTAGTAATTAATTTTCATCCAAATCTTGATTTTTTTAACTATTCAACTATTGTCTAGACATTAATTATATTTAATTAAAGTTATTATTACACTTAATTGTAAAAAAGTTAAATCATAATAATACTACTTTGCAGTTAAACTATTAGTGTTGATATGTATAAGATTTTAGATTTAAACTTTTGTTATTGTAATTTTAATCAATTCTTATATACTAAACATGAATCACGTGAGAGTTTTTAGGAATTGTCAAAGTTTTTAGAGATTTTTTTAACTCTTTATTTAATTTAATTTTTTTATTATAATTATTTATAAATTAAATTTTAATATTTTAAAATAAATTATTAATAATTTTATGCTATAATATAAATTATTTATGCTTACAAGAATGACATAGATTAAATCTCTTTACTCGTACTAATTACAACCTAAAATTGAATCTGACTTTTCTCGTGTTTTATATCTTTACATACAAACTTACATTAAAGATGGATAGACAATTTGTAATTTTACTAAAAATCTTTAAAAAAGTTGGTGATTAAGTTAACCTTATATGGGATTGGACCTTGTCCTAATCTAATTTTTTTTGAAATTATTTATCATAAGTATAAATATAGTTTATATGTTTAAAAATATTTATTTATATAAATTTAAATATAATTTATTTATTCAAATATAATATTTATTTATATATAATTTATTATAAATTTTAGTTATATACATATAATAAACATTTAATTTGTGTATTGCATAAGTTAAAATACTGGTGGATATAACAAAAAAATTACTTTGCAGCAAAATAATTTATTACAATTTTTAAATTTGTTATTTAGTTATATATCTTTTATTTTTAAATTATTTTTGATAATACAATTTTTTTATTAGTGTTATATATATAAATAAATATATTCAAATCATATTTTGATTCTTACGTCAATTAACATTAATTTTTAAACCTGTGTAAAGTTTTGAAAGACTACATATTTTATTAGTTTATATTTTTATTATCAATAAATTGAAATTTTAAATAAATTTTTAAACACATATTATATTATATTCATATTTTATATACAAATACTTTTAATTTTTAAACATGTGATTTTTTTTACATATATAAATTATTTTGTTTGACAGCAATACAAATATAAATTATTAAAAATCATTTATTTGAATCACTACTCTAGTAGTGGGAGCTTGAAGTAATATGTATAAAATCTTATGTTATAATTCTAATGAATAAAAAAAGCATCATTTATTCATTTTGGTACACAAAATAATCAATTAACAAATTACATTTCAGAATAAATGGACATAGAAAATGTTCAATAAATTATCTATATAACTTATAAGTTATACTAGTTTATAAGGTTTGGGCTGATAATCTAATATAATTTATAAGCCATACTAGCTTATAAGGTTTGAGATGATTTATTAGCTGGTTTTATCAAACACTACTTAACTGCTCTTATTTGTGTAGAAAATATGAAACATTAGCTTTCAAAAGAATTACAGGAACAATATATCTTTCAAGCCTTGTGTTGCACTCTTCCAAGTTCCAATTTGATAGGGTGGAAAGCTTAGTTTCTTGCATTGATGTTTTGGAGAGACGGTTTCATCCTTACTAGAGCATGCTTCTGACATTTTAGTTGCTATAGATTGCAACGTCAATTCCAACTCCAATTCCATCTGCATAATGAAATTGTCATATTCTGTGTCGTATATTGGACACACTCCACACCCTTTAATCATAATATCCCTTCGCTTTTCCCAAATACTTCCAGTTTGAGCAAAAAATTCAAATGAAATCTTTGGATTATAACTGGCCATAAGTTCTTCCATGTTTTCACTTTCACGTTCACTGTTTTGCAGACAACATTTTTCATCATACCACAGACACACATGTTCAGAGAAAAATTCACATGCATGTATACTAGACCACGTATCCATGTGCCCACGTGTGACACTTTCACCAATACCAGTTTCCATGTAACAATCACATCCAATGAAGTTCTTGTCATTTGAAGGGAACTTATCAACAATAACACAAAAGATGAATCCCATGATCTTGGAACATGGAGCAGAAGAGAAATCAATAGTTACCGAAGCCCGTGTAGTTCTATACAAGAACCACTCTGGAACCTTACTTCCAGGGTAGATAACATCAACTGGACCATCAAGAAACTTGGTTCCTATCGTTGAGAGATGATCATATGCCACTTTCTTTATGTTCACATGAGCATTTACTCCAATAGCACTGAGTGAATGTTCATCCAACTTCACACAGTTTTGGAATTTTGTGTGCATCTTGTATGCTTTTAGTATTTCAACAGCACTCAAAGTGAACATTACATTCTCCAAGGATGAACAGTTAGTGGCATAAAACTCTTTTATGGATAGTGGAAGCTCTGGCAAAGAATAAAGCCTTTTGCAATTACTTAAGTCAAGCTTTTCCAGATTAGAAAGATGCTTGATGCTTAAAGGAACTCTTTCAATATCTGTTCCTTTTAGCAACAGCTGCCTCAATGATGATAGGAGGTTGATGTTATCTGGAATTTCAAATAAGTTGCGGCATTCTTCCAACTTCAATGATTCCAGCGACCTTAAACCATTAACTAGGATATGAAGATTTGATGCATCAAGTTGTGTGCAGCCATAAATATCAAGTGACCGAAGTGATCTCAGGTAAGCAACCTTGTTTGGAAGATTGTTCAGACTTTTGCAGTTATCAAGGATCAATGTTTCAAGTTTTCCGAGAGTTCCAACTGATGAGGGCAACTCACTGATTGCGGTTGAAGTTAAAATTAATTTTTTCATGTTCTCTGAACTCACTGAAAACTCCTGGAGTCTTGAGCAACCACCGAGGAAGAGGTCACGTAGAGATCTTAAATGGGAATCACTTCTGAGACTGGTAAGTGCTTTGCAGTCAAATAAGTTCAACCTTACAAGCTTGTTGAGAGATAAAATAGATGGATGAACATTGCGCAAGTTTTCGCATGCAGAGAGTTCCACCTCTTCAAGATTTGAGGCCTTTGAAAAATCTGGGACCTCTAGCAAATTTTTGGAATTACTGAGGTCAATTTTCTTTAAATGTTCAAGATTCTGTGACAAAAAAGAAAGTGATATCAACATATGCTAAAATACTGTGTACTTGATCACAGTCTCTCATAAGTTATAACTAGAATTTTAATCAAAACAAAAAACTGTCATATATATATCATACATGTGATGTATTTTCCATCCATACCTGGATCCCATCCCAAAGTTTTTCCACTCGGCTCCACGGCATTTTGAGCTCAATGAGATTTTCTGCACAAAATGATTGAGGCAAGGATTTCAAAGGATAACTAACCCAATGAAAAAGCCTTAGGTCATTCGGCAAAGATTCTAGGCCCTTGGGAAGATACAGGATTTGCTCATCGCCATAATGTTGGGAAAAATTAAGAAATTTTAACTGTTGCATCTTTGCGAACACTTGAGGACTTGAGCACACCTCATCAAATTTTGAGAGGTTGAAAGTTATGCTCTTGATGGCTTTAGTTCCCTGGTAAGACAAAAAGTAAAATACAATGCTAAATAATATATTCAAAACCAGAGTTTGTAGGAAAGAAATTCAAATAATTATATAATAATGACTACCGTGTTATTTTTCAATACTAGATGAATGTCATTAGGATCCCATAACCTTGTTCGTTTTCCAGGGTCTTCAATGCATTCTTCTCGAACTATCTCCCAACCCATTTCTTGTATCAAGTCATGCATTGATACAATTGAGATTCCAGAGCCCTTGGCTTCAATTATGAGGGCCTTGTCTTTAAGGACTTTTAACCCAATAATTGTTGAGAAACCACAAGCATCAAGCAGATATATTATCCTGCGTATTTCATATCCTTTCAGAAAACATGCAATATATAGAAATATGTTCTTCTCTTCTCGATCAAGTCTATCATAAGTCAATCTCAATACATTCTGAATTTTTGCATGAGGCATTTTCTTAAGTTTCTCTAATTGGCTTTCCCATTCTAACTTGCTCTTGCCATAAAGAAAAGAACCCAACACTTTTAAGACTAATGGATTTCCATTAGCATACTGAATCACCCTTCTTGATAGCTCAATCCATTCTAAGTCAAGACAACTTTGTTTGAAGGCATTCATCATGAAAAGTTTAATAGCTTCATCATATTTTAATGCCTTAGCCTCATACACAATGTCGACCCTTTTTCCTAGCACACCCTTATCTCTAGTTGTTACAATGATTCTGCTACCAGATCCAAACCAATCAAGGGCTCCGACCAAATTTTCTAGTTGTTCGGAATCACTTATATCATCAAGAACAACGAAAACCTTTTTACGAACCAACCTTCTCTTAACATAAGGGGGAACTCCATTAGGTGTGCCAATATGTAGATCATTTTCCTTAAGTAATATAGAGATGATTTTATTCTTCAGATAAATCATTCCATGTTTCTCTGATTCTTCCGTTATGTTTGCCATAAAGCAACACCCTTCATATTCAAAACAAAGCCGGTTATATAGTGCAGCTGCAATAGTTGTCTTTCCGATACCTCCCATGCCCCAAATTCCAATGACACGAACATCTATTGTCGATCCTAGGCACAACACTGACTCCAAATCTGCAATCCGTTCTTCAATTCCTACAAGCTCTGTTAACTCACTTTGGTACATGAGATTCAACTTGGTCGACAAACATTTCACAATTTCTTCTATAAGCTCAACTTCATCCCTTTTCAACAAGAAAAAGAGAAGGTGTATCAAGCTTAGTGCCATTATTATTAAAAGTTGGATGAATAATTAAAGGACAAATTTAATAACAGTATTATATTGTATTGTTGATGTTATTATTCGATCAGAATTAGAGTTTCATTTTAATAATATAGGTCCAATTTGAGAACAACACTATCGACACTTGTGGTAAAAACAACAGTACTTGTGGTTTGATTGTTCACAAACTTTGGTCACACATAAGACAAACATTTCACAATTTCTTCTATAAGCTCAACTTCATCCCTTTTCAACAAGAAAAAGAGAAGGTGTATCAAGCTTAGTGCCATTATTATTAAAAGTTGGATGAATAATTAAAGGACAAATTTAATAACAGTATTATATTGTGTTGTTGATGTTATTATTCGATCAGAATTAGAGTTTCATTTTAATAATATAGGTCCAATTTGAGAACAACACTATCGACACTTGTGGTAAAAACAACAGTACTTGTGGTTTGATTGTTCACAAACTTTGGTCACACATAAGACAAACATTTCACAATTTCTTCTATAAGCTCAACTTCATCCCTTTTCAACAAGAAAAAGAGAAGGTGTATCAAGCTTAGTGCCATTATTATTAAAAGTTGGATGAATAATTAAAGGACAAATTTAATAACAGTATTATATTGTGTTGTTGATGTTATTATTCGATCAGAATTAGAGTTTCATTTTAATAATATAGGTCCAATTTGAGAACAACACTATCGACACTTGTGGTAAAAACAACAGTACTTGTGGTTTGATTGTTCACAAACTTTGGTCACACATAAGACAAGTTTTAATTAAAAACCATATTACCATCATATTTTATACTATATTTTTGGCATCACACTGGCAAACCCAGTGTAATCAATAATCAATCTAGCTTAAAAAAAAATTAAAGTTCTTGCAACTTGCATAACCTGCCAAAGTTTGCATATCATGAAATAATCAATAAAAAAAAAAAAAAAAACTCAACATGCATGTAGAAAACCAAAAGAACTTACCCATATTTGGATGAATGAAATCCAGAAAGATTAGCAGTTATATTTAGAGCATATCTCCAACTTTGCACCTTGGCTTGGTTTCTTTTACTTCTTTCATGCTTAGCAAGTGCATCTCCATAAGTCCCCTTTTGGTGCCGTACGTCCGATGGATCAACGTTGTAGAAAACAGGAATCACAATCTGTTTATTTATGTCCATGCACTCAACTATTTTCACAAGCTCTTCCAAGCACCACTTTGAAGAAGCATAGTCTTTGGAGAATATGACCAAGGAAATAAGCGACCCTTCAATGGCTTTGACAAGAGAGAGTGATATCTCATCCCCTCCTTCAAGCCTGTCATCCACAAAGGCATCAACCTGCTTCTGACGCAGTTCCTTTTTCAAATGGCTAAGAAAACCACATCGTACGTCTGTGCCTCTGAAGCTGATGAAGACATCATATTTGATTCGAGGAGGATCTTGGGAAGAAGATGAATTCGATGCCATTGGATGGAGACAGCACAAGCACAAGTGTTTGTCTGTAGATCTATCAACTCTGCTCCTTCAACACATGTAAATGTGAAATATCAATGGTGTACATGATATGCTACTCAAAGAGAAAAAGAAAAGAAGGGGAAATGAATAATAGCTTCAGCTAAACCATGAGCATATAAATATGAAAAATTGAAAGAAAAATGTGAAGAGTTTTTATATTGTTATCATGTTATGTGTTGTTCTAGTAAAAGAAAACTGAGCTTACTCATACCATTATCAAATTAGTAGATGAATGGAGATCATATGAAGGTCTTCCGGCTGGAGAAGAAATAATTAACAAAGTGCAAAAGTGTAAAAATACATGATAATTAGGCGCCGTTTGATGCAACGTTTAGTTTAGGACCAACAAAAAATGAGATTGAAAATCATTGTAAAAAAGGATCGATCAACAGGTCTTGGCTTCTGAGAAGTGAGAATTGAAATGCACTCAATGCAACTTCTGGGAAGTTTAGATTAGTAAAGATTCGTCCTGGCATAGCAGAAGCAGCCCCACCAGCGTGGACTTTTCAGTTGCACTATTGACTATTGAGTGTGTGAAAGTAGGACTAATCTTCTTTGCTGGCAATTCGACCGACTTGAGTTTTACACTTTTACTCGCGCTCAAATTACTTTACCAGAACTGAAAGAGAAATTTTGTGTTTCTTTATATTTATTTTTGAAATATTTTGAAAAATATGATTATAACAAAATATTAAGATTTGAAAAATGAGAGCGGATGATCTTTTTAATTATTTTGTATAGATGTATCCCTTTATAATTTATAATAATATATATAGATGTATAGATATATTTTGACACATTCAATTAATTCTACTAGTTAAATTCAAGGCGAGTTATTGTAAGTTATAACTCTTTGGTACCGAATGCAATATAAAAAAAATTCACAAATCTATGTATGTCCTAAGTTGTTAATCCAAGTAAAATTGAAGTTGATCTTCTTAAACAAAGTTGAATTCCAAATCTTACAAATAAAAAATATGTAACTACTACTTCCATCGAGATCCAATTAATTAGTTCACCAGTAGTTAATTTAGTTTATAATAATAAATTTATGTTATTTATACATTATTTTCAAAAAATTACCTCTATGTTACTTCTCTTTCTTATTTAATATTTATATATCTTCTAACTAATTAGTGTATATATCTTATACTATTTATCTTTTTTAATTAATATTTATCCTTTTTTAACCAATTAAAATGCATATTCTTTAAAAAATTTATAATTATTACGTTTTATTAGGTAGCATAAAAGAAAATTTCATTGAAAGTATTCTGTCAAATTCCTAACATAAATTAATCACCAACAAAGGAAAATGTCACTCTACCAATTTATTATTAAGTTAATAACAAAATTAAATTATTTATTTGATTCATAAAGTTGTCTTTATTTTAAATTTTAGCTTAAGAAAGATGTAAACTTTAGTTCGTCATTATAAGATTTAATATATATAAATAAAAAAAAAGTTGAACTTTGTTGTGAAGGACTAGAGTAAATTCATGAAAATGGAATATTGATGTTAATTGTTGTAGTTGTAATATTTCTTACAATACAAAAAAAAAAAAGATGAATAATTACACTCTTAATTAATTTGGTATTACCTTGATAGAAAAAGGTTAAATTTTTACTTATAGTTGTTCTCATTTTTACATTTTACTTGTAAGTCTGATTTTGGTTTCTCATCACATCAACACCGATGTAGTCTCCGCGTATTTGCATTAAAAAAATGGTTAAGAGGATAACATATATAGAAGTACATTGAAAACAATATTCCACCCAAAAAATTTACGCCCTTGGAAATATATATCCTACATTTCAGGGAATGAATTGAAATAGGCAAGCCTCACAATGTCACTGGTTTTCAAGTCGCCTAGCTTACTACGGTTTTCAACTTCAACTTTGTCTCATAAGAATGTCACTGGTTTTCCGAGTGCTGAATTTTGGATTTTAATGCTTCAATGACAGCTGAAAAGTCCTGATCACTCAGGCCATGGGATTTTGCAACTTTATATAACTCATTTGCAGCTGCTGCAATAGGAGTGGATTGGGAAACAGACTCTGCTAACCCCAGGGCTAGTCTTAGATCCTGTCACCATGAATTTTGTGAGCAAGCAAAACTAATCATCATGTCTGAAAGTTATAAAACAGGAATGTTCATTCACACACCTTCTGCTGATGCTTCAGGGGGAATGCAGTTGGATAAAGAGACTGTATCATGGATGGACCTTTGGTTGAGTACATTGGAGCATTAATGGCACCCTGTGAAACTACCTGCAAATTTCCCATTGCATAAAGGTTCTGCAGAATTCTTGTAAGCACTCATGACACATAATTCCTTATAGACAACAATGAAGATGAACTTTTAAGCCTTAATATACATATATAAAGACAGATTGTGGAGCAAATAGTTCTCCTGGGATTAGGAATAAAGCGAATAAAAACGAGTGTACCAAGGAAGAAACACTGAATAGTAGAGAAGGAAAAAATCAACAGAAATCACAGTCCTAAAAAGAATATGCTTTTATGCGACGGAACTTCCACTTCTATTAGATATAATACCACAGGTATCACAAAGTGAGGAAATAAAATTATTCACATCTTGATTTTTCTAATTCTCTGACATGTTTTCACTTGACATAATTCTCATGCAGATGCAGTAAATAATTCTGTGATTCATCATATTAGGGTGAAGAAGTTAATGATGTTTCTCAACTGCGAAATTTACTGTAGCCCAAAGAGATAGATGAAATACTTATCAGCCTTTAATAATGAAACGACCTACAAAACCACATATATTAAAAGCAAATTTTGGCTAGAAAAGTCCTGAATTACATCGACTATATTTTCCAACTGAGGAACGATCATGTAAATCTAAATTAGAATACAACATTTTGCAAAAATAAACTCAGAATATTTTTAATTAAAAAGTTTCCTCGGTAATTATTTTATGATGAAAAGTAGAATGCACGAGAATCCATGAAATCAGTATGAAATCCAGGGAAATGTTTCGTACGCCATATTAGGTGGGTTTTGTTTCATGGACTAGCAAATAGCCAAATACCTTCACTAGTACATCTGGATCAAGCCCAACTTTTTCACAGAGAAGTAAGCCTTCAGAAAAGGATGCCATCATACTACGGATCATTGAAAAATATAGAAAGAAATAACGTCACTTTAATCATTAATGAAAGGATAAGTGATAGCAAGAACAGGAGACGAATTGTAAAAGACCTGCCCATGATCATATTGACAACAAGTTTCATTGCTGCTCCATTTCCAACATCGCCAAGATAAAATTTAGACTGCATAGAAGCATAAAACATATATATGAATTAACTATTAGCTATTAAAAAAAAATAGAGAATTTTATTTAAATCAAGAACGGGATATATATACTTTCCCCATGATGTCCAAGAGAGAACCAACTGTTTCGTAAAGAGCTTTGTCCCCTGAAATATATTACATACATTGCCTCAGTTTCTGCAAGTGTATTCACAATTGTATGCAGGGTTAATTATGAAAATGGGAGCAAATAAAGGATTTATTTTTTATTTACAGTATGACCTGTTTATAAGTTCATAATTTGAAATATCTGCAACTACCTTGTATTGAAATAGGTGTTGCAACTTACATGTCACATCTCCATCTGATTTTTCTTCTTGTGAAAAAATAAATATCTCTTCACCAACACTTTTCCCATGCCAAATTAAATAAGTTATTAGTAGTTGAAGAAGAATATTCACCTGCTGTAAGAAATATCAACTGCCCATCTTCTGCTGGCTTTTTGGAACCTGAAACTGGAGCCTGGAGGCACATAGAAATGGCTTCATAGGTGTTAAAACTTACAAAATAATTCATCTAACTACCCAACAAAAGCAAGCAATGTGTTAATGCATATCCTAATTATACAGCACCCAGTATGTGCCGTAAAGAATAGGTACGGATTGAAAATTATAAAATAACAGCACCTCCAGAAATAATGCTCCAGTGGAGTTTATTTGCGCACTAATCAATTTAGAAGTGTCCCCATCAACAGTTGAAACATCCACATAGCTGAAAATAGATAAGGTGTTAAACTTGCCATCAGGCTAAGGTCTGTCTTTCATTTTGTAATTTAATAAAATTAAACAATCAAAAAGACGTATGGCTTACAGATATCGGTAATATGATGAAGCAAGATATGCAATGTCTTGACAACTATGGATAGACTATAATCAAACTAGAGATAAAAAAAAATTTAATGGTAAGATGAAAAGGAATAAAGAGAGTCAGAGGGAGGAATTTTTGTATGTGACACGCAAAAGAGTCGATATTGATTTCAAATGCCATTATCTGTCAAATTGAAGCAATATACAAGAAATAATTTAAATACGGTACCCTTTCCCTGGACCTATTCCATTTGCAGCCCCATGTTTCCCACAAGCAACATCCACCTGACATGGAACAAAGATAGCCAACTTAAACTAACATAGAATCTCTTTAAAAAAAATAAATAAATAAAAAGTATAGTGAAATATACGCACTGCACTTTGAGGATCAGCAAGCATGGCAAAGGTGACATCGCAAGATGCTGCTACTTCCTCGGGAGATGGTTTATATCTGCAGAACAAGTAGTTAGGCTTTCAAGCACACTTTGAAATTTACAGTTTAGTTATTCTCTCTGTCTTTTAAAATGCAAATGTCATCCACAGATGCAGAACTACTTAATAATAATGGTGTGGTTGAATACGAATGGTAGTTACTTTGCTCCCAGGCTTATTAGAGGATCACACTTGGTCTTGGTCCTATTCCAAACAGTGAGATCAACTCTGCAAGAAGGTATGTTAATTAATTAGAAGCTATGAAGGCTAAAGAACAAAAACTGAAATAGAAAAAGTAAGATGAGAAGCTGAGGCAGGCCTAGATACCCAGCTTTGAGGAGATTATGGGCCATTGGGGAGCCCATGATTCCGATGCCCAAAAAGCCAACGCGGGCAGGTGGCTCAGTTACTGAAAGTAGAGCACAGAGTAATGTTAGAGACACCATTAGTAATGGCTTGGTTGAATTCAATTGAATTGCTGCAATGCCATGAAATAATCAATAGGCTAGTAACAAGAATTAAAAGGAGTACGAATACTTACTAGCCTGAGCTCGAGGCGAAACGTGGGATGAAATGGGAGCAGAGAAACGCTTCATAATCATGGCTGAAAGGTTCAAGTGGTGAGAGCAAAACGTGGAACAACGCATCAACACAAATTGCACTTCACCCTCACCCACTTCCTTCACTCTCTACACCCAGCACTACCTCGATAGATAGATAAGAGAGACAAGATTTTTTTTCTTCTTTTCTTCTTTTACCCTCACTCCTCACTTTCTCACTGATATTAAGAAATAAAATATGCGAGTCAGCAAAATTCTTTTTTTCGAATATTTATTCTTTCAAATATTTAATATAATTAAAAATATTTATATAAAATGAAAGGTAGGGTAAGATTGGAATTTGGAAAGATTGACGCGGGTCTCTGTTTAGTGTTTACTTTTTACTACCAAGTACCAACTGAAACGAAAGGAGATATTTGTGGGTTGCGAAAAATCAAAGCATGGAAGTGGTAGTGGAAGTGGAAGGTGAAGATGGTTCCAAGCTCTCAATCGGAAATGACGAGGAAGCAGTGTTGGGACGAGGGTGTGGATTCAACACCCACGACCGCACGGTTTCTCGTCGTCACGTGTCCTTTCGACTCGACCATTCAGACTCGGAGGGTGCTAAGGCTAGGGTTTCGTTCCAAGTGATGGGGAAGAACCCGTTTTGGGTGTACGATGGAGAAGCGCTTCGGCTCTTCAGAAGCTTCGAGAAGGGTCATTTGCAACTCGGACACCGTTTCTGCTTCTCTTCCAACTCACCCATCTGGTTCACTATCAACAACACTCAACCTCTTAACCTCGACGCAATTCACGTTTCGGAAATTGATCCTGTCAAAGGTACTCTTTTTTTTTTTCTTCTTTAGAGGCTTCATTTCGGTATTTCTGATCCCAACCACTTTAAATAGATCTTACTACTACGTTACTCATGAATGACTCATATTATATTTTTACAATTTTTCCAGAATGAAAATTAGTTATGGGCACCCTTACTTTTTTATTATTCATACTTCACTTTTTTACACCTCATATTATACTTTGATAGATTACACTTTTATCTTGGATTAACATCAACCAATCAAATCTCTCCATTTTAAATTTTAGAGTGCCAAGCACTAATTTTTCTCCCATCAACAAAATTAAAAATTTTAGAACTTGTCTTGCCACTCTAGTGAAAATTTCTTGTAAGCACCTTTGTTTAAAATTAACATACACAACAAGCACCCCCACCGGAGGTGGTGATTGCTTGCTTGCTTGCGCTGTAAATTTTGGTACCTTTTCAGAGCAACAGTACGTAATGTAGTACATGATTTAGGGTGGTATGTTTGGACAATTTTTCCAAAAAAAAAAAAAATAGAGAGAAGAAAATAGAAGGAAAAAAAAATAAATTTCTTTTAAAAAGATAAAATTAGTTTATGCACAGAATAATTTATAGAAGTTTTCTGTTATCAGTTTCTCAAAAAAAAAAAAAAAAAAAGTAACGTGTGTGTATGAGTTAATGTTAATTTGTGGAAAAATTATTTCCTTTTTTTTCTAAGTGCTTATAGCGGAATTTATTCCCAAAAGACCTTTAAATTTAAATTATTTTTGGTAGTTTGTGAAGATTATATGGAGTTTGTAAGTGTTGGGTTCTTTAATTCAGTGTTGGCTATTTGAATACTTTTGAGGATATTACGATATTGTGATTTTCAAAATGCAGAGTTTGGTTTTCTTGTGATGGGGCACGAGTTTGACCACTATCCCAAGGGGATGATCCGGAATGCAACGAATTGGGAGTGGTTCATTGAGGAACCTGGAAAAGATAGTGATGAGGAGGAGGAATTTGAGAAGGGAAGGAGGAAAATGAGGGGAAAACGGAAGTTTGGTAAGGTCAATGAAGATGATGAATGGACTGGTGATAGTGAAGATGATAAGGACCTTGTTGCCAATGTGCGGAAAGGTAAGCAGCCCAGGTACTCCACAAGGTCAAAAGGTGGTAAAGGAGGTAATAAAGATACCAAAGCTAGTAAAAATTCTAAGCAAAAGAAAGCAGCTAGTGTTGGTGAAACTGTTGAAGAAGAAGATGATGACGACGAGACTCTGGGAGGCTTCATTGTTACTGATGAAGATGCTGATAAGGAGGAGGAAAATGATGAAGATGAAGAAGAGGAAGAGTTTGAAGATGATGATGATGAAATGGAGGATTAATGTCAAGGTTAGCAATATAAAATATAAATGAATTGAGTTATTCATGGATTAGAGTTATAGTAGTTTTATGTTTGATCAAGTGTTTGTTTAACTAAAGAGCTAAAAAACTACAGAAAAGATAAAGATAAACCGAGATATTTTTATTCCTCCTCCAAAGTTAAGATAATACATTATGTATAACCCAATAGCTACAAGGATGACCTTACAAGTGTCATCATCTAATATTTAGGGAATTAAAAATATAAACTACATATAATATTAGAATATCATCTTATTAACCCACTTGATCTAATTTCCTTCTTTTGGGCCTTGTAAGACCCATTTTATCATTCCATTCCACTTCACTTGGACCTTGTCCTCAAGGTCCTTAGAATACTTTTGCAACACATAGCTCCTCTGCAATAGCCAGATATGCTGGTGTTTGTGCTGCCAAGGCCATACATGATTTCAAAATTGATTGAAAGCTATCAAACTCCTTCAAAACAGATTCATACCACAAGGCAAGGCCATAAAATGAGAAAATAAAGAAATGGGAAATGTCATAGAATATGCTAGCAATTTGGCCTAGTTGAAATGAGCATTTGGTGATATCAAGCTCATTAGCAGAAAGGTCATTACCCTTGGAACAAAATGCAACAACAATGAGTGTATTATTAACAGCCTCCCCAACCAGCATGGTGGCCTGCACTCCAGAATAACTCTGCTGAGGTGAGTTCAATGACAGTTTTTCAGCAGATAGATCAAAAGTACTACAATCTATAATGTACTTTGAAATTGCATTTGATTTTTCGTTGGGATTCGTTGTGCTACTGCAAATCATGTTCCCTGCCACGGTATCTATTTCAACAAAGTGGGCACCCCTTGTCATAACAAAGATTAGCCTCATTCCAGGATTGTCAGAAATGTAAGATACAAATTTTGGTAGTGGTTTAAGCTACTGCCTAGTTTATATCCAACAATTAGCTTCCCTCCAAGGTTTGCAAACTGTAGGCTGTATACAACATTTTGAAGGGAAAACACAATTGTGCAATGAGTCACCTTTGTTTCTAGTTTTGTGAATAGCACTTCTAGCTTTGATGGTGGGAAATGGTCTACAATCTCAGGAATAACAAGTTGTTCAATAGAATCATCGGTGAGGAAAAATGCCTCTATTTGGTATGTGGACTCCTCTTCGTCATCGAAGATCAAAATGTCCCAATATTCCAATGCCAAAGAAATGCAGTGGTGAAGGGTTCCTAGCTTGTCCATAGGTGATGTTGAGACCACCATAACCACCATTGAAGAGCTTGACCAGTTAATGTGGTCACAGCTTTCGATAGCTTTGCCACCTCTGATGTTTACCTTGCTCTCTAATATTTCTCAGTGCACAAAACCCACCAATAAGCATCATTTGTTCCATCAAATAGTGAAATCTCCATTTTTTTGACCTGATTCAACAAAAAAGAGATCGAAAATGAAAACATCAATTGATAGGTAGCAAAATACTACTCTATCACTATTTCTATGTTTCTACCATTAAAGAGCTAAAAAAAAGTTATAGAGAAAATAGAGATAAATTTAGATATTTTCATTCCTCCCCCAAAGTTAAGAGAATACATTATTTATAACCTAATAACTGCAAGGATAACACTATATCGTCTAGTATTTAGGGAATTAAAATTATAAATTATATATATATTAGAATATCATCTTATTAACCCACTTGATTTAATTTTCTTCTTTTGGGCCTTGTAAGGGTCATCCTATCAATAAACATGTTCAAACTTGAAGGTAGGATTAATTATTCAAATGAGTTTCTCTGACTTTATAGGAATGACACCAATAATTTGCAAATAACTCGCACACATTATTTATAGTGATAATTTATTTTTGATGTTATATGCTTAATTATAAAACTTTTATTTATAAAAATTCCACCATTTTCATACACTATTTAAAAAGTTCTAAATGACAAGTGTAGTATTATGCAAGTCTATAATCTATAATATTGCATTAAATTTTTAATGTGATATGTTGAGATTAGATACTTATTGGCAGAATCTTTGTAGAATGCTTCTACTGCCGAAAGGTGCATGGAAGCACCCTTCTAATTCGAATGTATGGTCTACCAAAAAACATAAACAGGTTTACTTGCAACTTGTTAAACAGGTATCTGGGTAAGAAAAAAACAATTTCTGTATTTGATCTTAGCGAATCATAGTATTAGCATAAAGATTTTTGCTATTATTTAAGATTGAGTTCTTATCTTTTATATGTGTTTATATGTCTCAATGGGCAAATCCCCACCAAAATAGGTTTCCCATCTGTCTCAGACATCCCTGAAGGACAATTGGAGCCTCCAAGAAACCATCCAATTGAGCAAATTCATGACCCCAAAAATGCCCTGAAAGAGTTTACTTCAGTAAAAGTGTATTCGTGCAGGTGCACCTTGACAAGCCGTTCTTGGCATGTAGGCGTTCAGCCAAGCTTGAGATTTTGATAGCAGAAGTGGAATGGGGTATCAAAAGCAAAAAGAACGTGACTGAGTTCACTTCATGTGCTACCAAAAGTGCAGATCTGAACACTATACTGAAAGAGTAGAAAAAGATGATATGGGTCCTAATAGAAGCACGTAAAGAGAAACTCTTTCGTGGGGGTTTTGTGGTTTTTTTTTTTATCGTATTTAATATATTGAAATTGCAGCGGTATGTATGGGTCAAGATACAACTACTTGAATACCATTTTGAATATCATATTATGTATGGGGAGGCTTTGAATTTTTGGCGCTCTCTCTCCTTCCACTGAAGAAAACACCATTGATGAAGAACTTGAAGAATATTCCAATATTCTTGGGATGGAAAAAAGGCATTCCCACTTGAATTCTCCGATCTTTATTGTTAATTGTAATATTGCGATTTAGTTTTCATGGCATGCTTAAATTCATTTTTATATTTCTATAATATTTCAAATGTGTAATTTTGATCTAGTTTTTATTACAAATCCGGTCATCTAGTTTCTAAAATTAAAAAAGGTGCTAGTACACCATCAATGTCATTTAAAATTAAACAAAAAATGTTGATGTCTAAGTGTCATTATATGATAATTACTAGTTATTTAGTCATATTGATCGGATATGAGTGTCATTGTATGATAATTATTAGTTATTTAGTCATAATGACTTTTATGTAAGATTTTTTTTTTACAAATAAGTTATGTTCTTTATTTTAATTAAAAATTATAATTTATTTAAAGGATTTTATTTTTAATATTACTATTTTTCTATGTAACTAATTAATTAAATGTAATATTATTCATGGACACTTGTTATATTTTTGTTTAATTTTAAATAACATGGTAACAATGAACTAACATTACTTAACTTTTATTTATAGAGATTATATTTGTAATAAAAAAATTTAAGGAATGAAAATTACTTATTCATGAAAATATAGGGATTGAGAGTAAATTTAAGTCTTAAACTTATTTTGGATTAGACCTATCAACTACACTCTAATATAGCTTTTGATTTTCATATATATGGTATGATTTCTTCTTGGCATTAGGAGTTTATTTATATTTTTAATGCTTATTCCATGTTGTTTACTTTTAAGTCTTTATTTAGAATGAATTATCTAATGTTTTGAGTTTTTAGGAATAAGATTTAAATCATTAGTTTCATTTGATATGCTTGATGGAAGTTTTTTTTGTTAATTAAGCAATGGAGTGATATTTAGGAGAGAAAAAAACTTAAATTCTCTTTATTAAGGAATTAATATAGAATAAAATTAGTCTTTAAAGTCTGATTAAATATAATCTAAAAAGACTTTTGAGAACTTCTTTGATAAAACTAAATAATATTTTTAGTAGAAAAGTTTTTAAAAGTCTTTTTAAGTTTGTATTCAAATATATTCCTAGATCATATTGTTGAAAAAATAATATTCATATGTATGATCATTAAGGTTACAAATGAGTGAAGTTGGATAGATTTAGATCCTAAGCTTATTGATATTGAATTTCCCTTACTTGTTACAATGCTCATGAATTTGACTTTTTATCAAATTTTGTGAACAATAAATTAGTTTAATCAAATTTATGTGGATATAAAAATCTTACTCTTTAATGCTTAGTATTTATTGATGATGTTAGACTCTTAGTTTGCGATTTTCGTTTAGGTTGGTTCAATTTTGAACATTCCTATTAAAGTTTGGTTTCAATCTAAGTGACCGACTCAGAATCTTGGACAAGTATTTGATAATAGGAAATGATAGATTCAAGTTTGAATCCTTTATGTCAAAAATCTTCCTAGCAATGTGAGGTTATGTGACATGTTTCATTGATGTGAGCTAACAATGATGTATCTAGAATTATTAGGTGTGTCTAAAGTTCTAAGGGCTACAATTGAACACTCGTAAATGTAAAAAAGATTTTCGCTAAAGAGGAGGTTAAACCCTAATCCTTTATTTGAGGAGATGTTTGTTAGGATATAAACAAAGTCTCACATTATTCAACCACGAGGAGAAATAAAGGTTTATGAGGCACTCATAATCTTCATTGTTATGAGGTCTTTTGTGAGATGATCCAAAGGATCAAAGTGTGAGATTCCTTGTGTTAAAAGTCTTATTGGAAGTGTAAAAGTCAAGCAACGTGTCTTATTAATGTGACCTAACAACGGTGCAAGTATCTAGAGTTGACAGGTGTCGTTAAAGCTTTAAGGGTCACCATTGAATATTTGTAAATAAAAAAATAATTTTCACTAAAGGAAAAGTTAAACCACGGTCATTTGTTTGAAAGAAGGTAAGTTAATGTCAAGCGACGTGTCACATCAATGTTAGTTAACAATAATGCAAGAATCTAGAGTTGGTAAGTGTAGTTAAAGCTCTAAGAGCCACCACTAAATGCTTGTAGATGAAAAAAAAAAAAATCGCTTGAATGAGAGGTTAAATCATGGTCAAGGGAGGTTTGTTGGATATAAACAAAGTGTCATATCATTCAACCATGAGGAAAAATAAAAGTTTATAAAACATATACAATCTTCAATGATATGAGGTATTTTAGAAGATGACTAAAAGTAAAATCATGATGATTTAAGTTTAAAGGGAACAATATTGTACCGTTATAGAGATATGTTTGTATGTAAACTCTGAATGTCCAAACCATATTGAGAATACAACAAAATTATACTAAAAAATAAAATTCAAAAGGCAAAATATTTTCTTTGGTCTAATTTATGTAATGAAACATAAAAAATGGGTTATAACTTATATAAAATTGGTATTTTAGTACGTGTAATGTAAATTTGGTATTTTAGTATGTGTAATGTAAATGATAAATATTTATTTTATATAATAAAAATATATAATAAATATTTATAAATATTTAATTATATTTTAATTAAATTTATAATAAATAATTATTTAAAGACGTAAATTTTATTTTTATTTATGATAAATAATTCCTATTGCAATATTAAAAAAAATTAATTATAAATTTATTCGAATTCAATTTATACATAAAGATGAAAATACATAAATGAATAAAATAATTCAATATATAGATAAAGAAAAAAATATAATGATTTTATATGATTGATAAATAATTTTTTAAGAACAATTTTTTAATCAAGCTAAATTTATAATAAAAATTTAAATATTAAAATTAAATATTTAATATGTAAAATTAATGTATGAACCTAATATTTTAATATATGTTAATATGTAATGCACATAATATTATTTATTTTATATGATTAAAATTTATATTAAATATAAAATTTTGAAAACATAAATTATGTCATAATTAAAATTTATATTTAAATAAATATTTTTTTAATTAAAACTATATTTATATTAATGATAAATAACCAACCCTTATATATGAAATATAAGTTTTTAAGAATTTTTTAACTACATGTCTAATCCGATTTTTATTTATCATAATTATTTATTAATTTAATTTTAATATTTTAAATAAATTATCAATAAATAAAGATAATTTTATACTATAATATAAATTATAAATTATATTTTTAAATATAATATTTATTTGTATACATAATTCATTTTAAATTTTAATTATATATAATAAATACTTAACTTGTGCATTACACATATTAAAATATTATTTTCTATTATCATCCAATTGTTTTAGCTATTGTTTAACTACTTTAAAAACATTAAAAATTCAATTTAAAAAATAAAATAAAAACAAAAAATTAGAAGAAATAATATGTTAATTTTTCTAAATTATTATTGTTTAATTGTTAGATGTCAAATTTTGTAAAATTGTTAAAGTGACAAAATATGCTGTTAAGGCTTCTTGTATTTTGTTTTATTAATTTATTTGATATTTTATTCAATATTAATGAATCAAGACATTTTATACACCTATGTATTTTGTTTAAAAACAATATAAAATAAAAATTAAACATATAAATCAAATGAGATAATTTAAATTTTTTAAAAAATAATCTTAAATAAAAATAGTTACAAAATGAGATGATATTTATTTATAATCTATAATTTATAACATTTATAAAGATAATAACATGATTTAGTATGTATATCTTTTAAAAGATTTTATATTTAAATATTTAAATAATAAAAAATAATATTAAAAGTTAATTATATTGATTTAATAAATGTTAATAATTTTTAAATATTTTTATTAAAAA